ATATATTAAACAAATGTAATTGCATGCTAACAGGTTTCCGTGTGATTATTTTCATACATGTATATTGTAGTGGCTTGAATGAGAACTGTCCCTCATGCTTCTCTTCCCAATTCATTACCGTTTCTACTTTCATGTAGTGTGTTTGTGTGTTTTTGTGTGTCCCAATGAGTTTCATTAGAGTTGCTTGCAGGAGCACAGGTAAGGGATTATTTGCAGGCACATTTGCACCTACCCAGTGGCAGCTATGCCTACAGATCAACCGGGAAGGGTAGAGCTTCATGAGCCCTCCCTCCCCCCAATTCAACCCACTTTTAGAAAGGCTAGTAAATTATTCAGCATTTTCTAAAGGAACAGAACTAACAGAACAAATTGTAATGTCTAATGTGTGTGTGTGTGTGTGTATTAGAGTGGTAGAAGGCAGCATTTACTGAGCTGGTGGTTGCTCCTCTGTACTTCAGTGAATGGAGTGCCTGAACTCATTTATTGACCACGGAGGGAAATGCCCTATGTAGATACCAGTTCCCAGTAAGAGCAAATACACTGTGTAGATGTAGCACAGTTTCTTTATCCATTCTTTGGTTGAGGGACATCTAGGTTGTTTCCAGATTCTGACTATTACGAATAAAGCCGCTATGAACATGGTTGAGCAAATGTCCTTGTTGTATGGTGGAGCATCTTTAGGGTATATACCTAAAAGTGGTATAGCTTGGTCTTGAGGTAGACCTGTTACCAGTTTTTGTGAGAAAGTGCCAGGTTGATTTCCAAAGTTGTTGTATAAGTTTGCATTCCCACCAGCAATGGAAGAGTGTTCCCCTTTCTCCACATCCTCTCCAGCATGTGTTGTCACTTGAGTTTTTGATCTTAACCATTCTGATGGGTGTAAGATGGAATCTCAGAATCATTTTGATTTGCATTTCCCTGATGACTAAGGACCTTGAACATTCTTTAAGTGCTTCTCAGCTATTCGATATTCCTCTGTTGAGAATTCTCTGTTTATCTCCATACCCCATTTTAAAATTAGATTATTTGGTTTGTTATTGTTTAATTTCTTGAGCTCTTTATATATTTTGGTTATTATCCCTCTGTCAGATATAGGGTTGGTGAAGATCTTTTTCTAATCTGTAGGCTGTCCTTTTGTTCTATTGATAGTGTCCTTTGCTTAATACTATTCAGCTATTAAAAACATGAAATTTGCAGGCAAATGGATGGATCTGGAAAAGATCATCCTCAGTGAGGTAACCCAGACTCAGAAAGACACACATCATATATACTCTATTATAAGCAGATATTAGCCATAAAATATAGCATAACCATACTACAATCCACAAACCTAAAGAAGCTAAATAACAAAGAGGACCCTAAGGAGGATGCTTAATTCTCATTCACTGGAAGGGGTTGAAGAGAGGGAACAGGACAGGAGTCCTCCATAGATGTCCTCTGAAAGACTCCACCCAGCAGGGGATTGAAGCAGATGCTGAGACTCACAGCTAAACTTTGGGCAGAGTGCAGGGAGTCATAGGAAAGAGTGTGGAGGGGGGGTGAGGGGTGAGAGGATAGAAGGACCCAGAGAGGACAGGAGTTCCACAAGACCAACAGAGCCAACAAACCTTGGCCCAGGATGTTCTTTGGAGACTGATGCACCAGCCAAGGGACATGTATGGAGAGGACCCAGGCCCCCTGCTCAGATGTAGCCAATAGGTAACTCAGTCTCCATGTAGGCCACTAGTAAGGGGACCGGGGGCTTCTCTGACATGAACTCCGCTGCTTGCTCTTTGATCACTTCCCTCGTGCAAGGTGGCCTTGCCAGGCCACAGAGGATGAGGATGCAGGCAGTCCTGATGAGACCTGAGAGTCTGGGGTCAGTTGGTAAGGGAGGAAGTCTCCTCGTTTCTGAGGACGAGGGGACAGGGAAGTGGGGGGAAGGAGGAAGGAGAGTGGAACCAGGAGGAGGTGAGGGAGGGGACTATGATAGGGATGTAAAATGAATAAATTTAATATAATAATAATAACAACAATAATAATAGTAAAATACAGCAGCCCAGAACAACCACCATCGCTAACAGCACTTCAGCTCCACCAACACTCCCAGCCCACCATGGGAAGAGAGATGAGCAGATCCTCCATGGTATTTTTTCTGCACTCAAAGAGAAAGAGGTCAGGAAGAGCTGTGGTCTGTGCCAGCACTCTGCAGCCTCCAGATACAGTGACTAGGGCTCCTGTGCTTTTCTGGCCTGGGAAGAGTGACATAAAGGGGCCAGCTGAGCTTGCTACAAACCAGAACACTTTGAGGAAACAATTGATAAAACAAAACAAAACATTACAAAACAAAACAAAACAAAAACCCTCTTATCTTGATTTGCCTTTTCCCCTAAAATTCAATTTAAAGAAACCAGCTTTTTGTTATCTATTACTTTTTTTCTCTTGAGGCTAGCTTCCTCTGTAAGTTCATATTAAATCTTATTGTCTCGGTATTGTTGTGGGTAAATGTATAAATTGGCTTCTAAAATATGTAATGGCCAATGACAAACGTGACACATTTCCTTAGAGTGCAGCCAGCTCTAAGGAAGCGTAAATTAAGATGTTTATGAATTATTAATTGGCCTTTCATTAAATGATCCATATTACACAGATGAATAAGACATAATTTCTTTTATTTGACGAGCTCACGTGCTGGAATACAGACACATAAAAGCAATTGCAACAAAACAGAAGCTAGAAAGGGAAAGCTCCCGGTGCTGGGCGAGCTCCGAGGACCCAGATTGTCCTGCCCGTGGCAGTCTGGGACCCACACAATCCTGTGTGTGTTTTCAGGAGATCTTGAGTCTCTTTCTTAGTTTCAAAACTGTTTCTTCATTTAACTGTGAGAAGTTACAGGGTACTCTGTGGTTTCAGCTTTCAGGATTTGAGGCTTGAGACACTTGTGTTATCTTCGACCAACCTGTGTAAAGTCCAGCTTTTATCCAGATACTGTCCAGAGAGCCGCTTGGATAGATAGAGTTGAGAGCCCAGGCCTTTAACTTTTTGAGTTCAAATCTCAGATCTACTTCTTGTTGTTTGGCCAAGTCTAGGTTACTTAACTTCTTCAGAGCTCACTTTCCTCAGGTGTAAGACAGAAGAGAGAACAGTGCATCAGTGTCTCAACCGGTCTTCTCCCTACCTCAGCAGGGTCTTGCTATGTGGCTGAGGCTGGCCTCAAACTATTAGTCCTCCTTCTTATCTCTTACTAATTTTTAAAATCGCCCATAAATTTGAATAACAGCATGTCAGTTACATCATCTACTTTTCATATTTTATATAGCTTGTTTGTTTGTTTTGTTTTGTTTTTGAGACAGGGTTTCTCTGTGTAGCCCTTGCTGTTCTGGAGCTCACTCTATAGACCAGGCGGGCCTCAAACTCAGGGATCTCTCTGCTGCTGTGTCCTGGGTGCTGGGATTAGAGGCATACACCGCCATGCCTGGCTTTTATATGGCTTTTATCTGTATGTTAATAATAGTTCTGGCTGTATAATAATTATAACCTTCAAATGATTTGCTTCTCCATCTACTGAAAACAAGTTCCACATTCTTTAACTTTTGAAGAAGTTATGCCTTTTTTTCCTGAATATATATATATATATATATATATATATATACACACACACACACACACACATACATAATAGAGACAATTAAATTGGATTTTGTAGCCAATAGGATGCAGAACCCTGGAACTGAGTGCTCTGAAGATGTAGGGAGCATATGAAGGGAGGGAGGGAGGGAGAAAGGTAGAGAGAGAAAAGCCACTGCCATTGTTGGCACCAAGGACAAGGGAGGGAGCTATGAGAATAAAATAGCTCCTGGCTGGAGCTGTCACTTATCTGAGCCCCAGAATAACACACTAAAGAGGACTGGCTCTGCTCTCACTCTTATCCTGAGTAGTTTCAGACTGCAGCACAACAGAAAAATCAGATGCAGGAAAATCACCGAGGCGAGCCCAGGTCTGCTTCTCTAGGCCCAGAGCAGGACTGAGATTGGCAGAATGTGCTTCTGGGGAACAAAAACCCAATACAGAAGCCTAGTCATTCCAGGGAAATAATATCTCAAAACCAAAGTCAAAACAAGATACTTTGTCCATGAAACAGAACAAGCTTGTGTGGGTTAGCAGCTTCTCACCAACAGCCTCCAAGACTGAAGTCAAACCCACAGAAACGTGGCTGCGGATGCTGAGGCATGTCCGGGAGGATATTCTGCTAGATGCTGATTTCAGGTGGAGCTAAATGAGGGTTCACAGGGAGCGTCTCCTTCATGATATATAGCCAGAAGACAAGGGGCTTTTCCTGGAGGGCAGAGCCAGGGTCTGAGAAAAGGAACTCCACAGCCTCAGCAGGACCTCATTCCTGCTGTCTGCAGGATGAAACATGGTCTGTTCTTTCCATCCATGACTTGACAGACTGGAGTTCTTACTGTAGCCAGCCTTTCTTCCTCCTTCAGAGCAGATGTCTTTCCTCTGCAGCGTGTGTTAGCAAGGACATGTGGCCTGGAGAGCTGGCCTTTGATCTCCGTGTAGGGAGAAAGGATTAGTGTTCCACGCGTATTGAATACTGGAGAAAAGGAGCCCGGGAACGCCACAGATCAAAGCGGACATTGCAGGTGGTCTAGCTGAGAGTCTCACAACCCCTTCCTTCTCTTTGCTTGTCTCCGCTGACACACAGCCCGGGATAGTGAGGTTTACCAAGGACAAGCTTTCTCCCTAGAGTGTGAAGACGGTGCTCACGGCTGGAACAGCTGCCTGTGAGGATCACAGAGCAGGAAGATGGATGAGGCACTTCTTGATGATTGCTTAGCAAGGTTTTCAGCCTGTGTATCATAACCCATATAGACTTAAACAATAAGAATACAGTCCTAGGTAAAGACACACTAAGGTAAATCTTGACCAAAGAGTTGTAGTCAAAAGTGAGATAGAGACCAAATATGAATTGCGCACCCGTTGAAGGGGTTAAATTCATTAGCATGTGTAAACTAACGGCCCCTAGAGGCACTACAGGTGTGGTGCTGTGTCACCTGTGTGGCAGAAGGTGGCTGAGAGGAGAGAGGCTCTGTCTACACCCCAGGTGTTCTGACCTGGGGACACCTGAATGATTAGTAGCCTATGGTTCCCTGAAAAAAGTGAGCCGGAGACGAACACCGGTCCTGCGCTGTGCAGGCAGGGATGAGCGCCCAGGCCGGAAGTGAGCTGGAGACAGACGAACCTCGCATGGGGCCTGGGAGAGGAGCGAGTTTGAGATGACCCCCCAGAACAGTGCCATGGGGCCTGGACAGGGAGCTAGCCTGAGATGACAACCAGCCAGGCACCGTGCAGGCCTTGGGAGGCAGAGCCTGCCTGGCGCCACAACGCATGAGCAGGACATAGCCCTCCTGAGATGAGCCCAGACACTCAGAGACCCCAGGCACCATGAAGAAGCGCAAGTACGTGGTGAAGAAATGGAAGAGACAGAGAAACGGAAGGATGTGGGCACAATGAAGACAGGCAGAACTGGAGACTCGAGGGTGGTGAGGAACAGCCTGATGTGAGTGGCCGGCGATGCCACGGGGGACCAGATGGAGTTCCAGCCTGTGCGGCCACCAGTGGCCATGTCTGGGCCTGTGGCCTTGTAGCAGCAGGCAGATGTTCTAGGCTGCTGCCAGGGGAAATGTTGATGTGAGACCGCTGTGCAGAACTGGCCCCACCCCACACCTGGGCATCCAGGGAGAACCGGCTCTGGCAGCAGGAGAGCTGACCCTGCCCCTAGCCAGCTGCAGAGCTAAAGAGAGCAAGCCCTGCACCTTGCCTGGGTATCACAGGGAGTTGCCAATGAGCCAGAGCTGGGGCGTGAGCAAGAGAGAGCTGGATTTGCCACTTGTCAGCCATGTGTCGTCCCTTGCCACCTACATAGGCAGGCAGAGGAGCCGACCCCTGAGGTCATCAGTGTGGGAGAGGCATCCCTTCCCCTTACCTGCTGCAGCAGTCTGGAGAGCGGGCCCTGTACCTTCCCCGGGGGCAGCACAGTAGAGCTGGCCCTGTATGTGGGGGTTGCAAGTGAACCGGCCCTGCCTCTTGTCTGCTGTGCGGTGGCATGGACAAGGGAGAGATGACTTTGCCACCTATGGCAGAATGAGAGCTGGCTCTGGGGTCATGAGAGTGGGGGAACTGGCCATGTCCCTCACTGGTTGCAACACTCAGGAGAGCAACAGGGTAGAGCTGGCTGTGGTCACGGGGGTTGCTGGTGAGCTGGCCCTGAGGGCAGGAGAGTGGGAGAGCTGGTGGGCTGACCAGCCCAGATACCTCTCAGGCCCAGATCCAGGGCCTTGAATTGGCCCACCCTAATATCTACCTCATCGATGAACGGCTAAAGTGCATGAAGAGGCTTGTCCTAAAGAGCGAAAACTACAAGATCTCCACGACACAGGGCAACAACGGAATCCAAGAGGAGTCGCAGTGAGGCTCCAGTATTGATAGAGTGGCAGAAGCCAGAGGCCTCAGACCATGCAAGGAGTCATTGCAGTGAAACATTTGTAAGCAAAGAAGTGCGGACAAAACGGCACACTGTGGGACACACTGTGACGCACTGCAGCTTCCACAGTGAGATCTCTTTCTCTCGTGGGGGAGAGGTTTCAAGTGTGGAGGGTGCGTATGGGGGGTGGGAGATGAGTGGGGTTGGGGTGCATGATGTAAAATTAAGGAAGAACAATGAAGAGTTTAAAAGTGTGTAAAGTGTTGAGAAGAGTAACTGCTGCAGGATGGTGTAGGAAGAGCCATCCTCACGGGCATACAACCTGCAGCATCACACAGGGGCCCAGTGCCCAGAAAAGCCCCTCCTCGGTTTAATAACTAGTGCTGTCATCTTGAAAGTCTTTCGTTTGTTTACTTAGTTTGTTTGATATGTATGGTACCCTCAGAGGCCAGAAGAGGGCATCAGGTCCCATAAACCCCTTCACTTTGTTTCTTCTCCGTGCATTTCCGCCATGATGAACTAGCTGCCACTGGCCCAGAGAGAAATGGCCAACTGTATAAATGGAAAGCTCTGAAACGTGAGCCAGAATAAATCCTTCCTCCTTCAAGCTGTTTATTTTGGTTCTTTTGTTACAGTGACTTGGAATGTTGACTGACACACCCATGACCTGTCTCCTCTTCCTCATCTGACCTCAAGGAACAAAGGGTGCGTGGTCTGTGGCAGAGGAAAATGCAGACTACAAACTGACACTGACAGGAAGAGCTGACTCCCCTTCCCTGCTGCTGGCTGTAGACAGGGCCGGGCAGAAGCAGGAGGGAGGAGAGTTTTCATTTTTATCACAACTGTGCTCATTAATCCTGCACCCAAGAAGAGAAACCTTTTAAAACCCGAAAAGGCTTGAAAATCTTTGGGATATGCTTAAACCCTCTTCCTGGGGTAGAGGAGGGAGATCTGACAGAAGATCCCCAAAGATCAAAGGATGGGAAAAATGAAGGTGCCTCCCGCTGGCATCCCGTGGAGCCGGCTCATTGAAAAGGCTGTTATCTCCAGCATCCCGCGGAGATGCTGGAAGGAGAAGCAGCCGTCTCAAGCCGATGCTGCACGGGAAGAAATGTGAATCTCTGTTTCCCTGCTCTGCGCGCTTTCCTGCTGAACTCTCAGCATTGTTCCGGGAGGCGTCAGATGTGAGGCTTACCCAAGCTTTCCACCCATACGAGGTGTGTGTGTGCCGGTATACACGCCTGTGCACACATGGAGGCCAGAGGAGGCTATCTGGTGTCCTGCTCTGCCATACTCCCTTGAGACAGGGTCCTTCACTAAACCTGGGGCTATGCACGCAGCCAGCTCTGTGGTTGCAAGGGTGCAGGTGGCCCTACTTCGGTTTTTGTGGAAGTGCTGGGGATTTGAACTCAGGTCCTCACGCAGGAGCCGCCAAGGCTCTTACCACTGAGCCACGCCCCCAGCCCCATGCTTTTCTTTTTATACTGAACATACTGCTATAACTACTTTCATCATCTTCTGTGCGAAGTACTTGTTCTATAATTACGTCTCATAGAAAGATTGTGGTTTTTCATCATTTTTATCATTTATAAGTAATAGAGCTTTGTAGGCTGAGTTTCTTTTTAAAAATACCTATTTTTATTATTTTTACTTATGTTCAGACGTGTGTCTGTCCGTCACATGTATAACAGGCGCACAGTGAGACCAGAGGCATTAGGTCCCCATGGAATTGGGATTGCATGCAGTTGAAAGCCGTTTGATGCGGGTGCTGGGAACTGAACTTGGTTCTCTAAAAGAGCACTACGTGTTCTTAGCCACTGAGCTATCTCTCCACCACCCTGGAAATTCTTTTACGTTCTTAAAAGTAACTATTTTAGTGATAGCCCAAATGGAACTGGACTTTTTAAAGTGTTGTGATTATTTCATTTTGAATTCATGATATCTCAAGGCATAATGAAACTTTTATTAGTTAATTGCCTTGTTGGTCTGAAGAGAAGTCCAAAGCTTGATTTCAAGATCAAGAACTCATGGATTAATACTCTACCCCATGAGGAATGACTCCTGATGGTAGCAGTGATTTTTGTTGTTGTTAAAAGCTTATGTTAATTGCTCCTGTACTCAGTTCCTTTCCCTCCTTATTTCTACATTGTATGTCACATTAATAGATAATTTCATTTAAAGCTATTTTAATTTAGAATTCTTTCATAAAACAGTCATTTATATTCAGTCTGTGAGATTTTATTGTAGCACATTATATTGTCAGATTCCTAGTTATTTCAACACATAGACTAGATGTTTTTATAGAAATGAATGTTAAAGTTATCACTCAGAAACTTCTTCTAATAGTTAATCATGGAATTTTCAATAAGCCATGAGTGGAATGAAGCATTTATTGAAGTATTTTGCTCATACAATGTAACTTTATAAGATGAATCTAGTTTCAGAGGAGGAAAGGGAGCAGTAGAAACTCCGAATGACAGATGCCTGGTCTACCTCAACTCTGCATAATAAGCAACATTTAAAGATAATGCTGGTGCTTGAGGAACCACATTGCGCTCCATTATTTTTAATTTGTACAGGACAACATGGAAAAAGGTGCCAGGCTTTCAAAGTCCAACTTGGAGCTTTGGCTATGTCTCTCAGCAGAGAAAGGCGGTGGACTCTTCTCTGTGGCCTTTGGCGAAAAACCTCACAGTGGCTGATCTTCATGACCTCATCCTGGAATTTGGCTCAAATGACCAGCTCTAATCAACCTGAAAATAATGCCTCTTTGTCTATTGGAAAACAAATGGCGACAGATTGGCTCTTTCTGCTATAACCGTAGCTCATCTGACTAGTTTTGCCCATGAAATTCTAGGGAAGCCTGGGATACAATTTGAGGAGTTAGCTATGTGTGAAAATCTTAATGAACCCAGTCACCTTGTAATTTAATGGTTAAGAGGCAGCTGTCTGGACAGATTAGCCATTAAATCTTCAATATGGGGCAGTTTGACCTTAGTTAACGTGTTATAAAAAACAGAATTTCGGAATACAGTCAGTTTTGAAGTCTGAGCTAGAAGTCTGAGAACTGGGTAGTTACGTTAGGCTAGTTGGTCACTGGTACAAAAACAAAAGGCAGCAGTACCTTTTCCTCCTTAAAAATAAAAACAAGACAGTTTTATTAAATTAAAACTGCTTTATACAGTTAGCATTAGCTCATACATCTCCTTTGTTCTCTGGAGCGCGAAATCCGGATTCTCTTAGGAACACTGCAGGCCCGTGGTGGGTAACTAAAAGAAACATTTATGCTAATCTTCCTATCATGATTAATTCTGAATATGGACGTTTTGGTGGTCCTGGGATTCAGAGAACTGCAAACGGAATAAAAAGACATGGAAACGGCTCTGCCGGAAGAAACGCTGTGGAGCTGGCAAAGAGGACCTGATGGTCGAGGAGCGCGCTGGCCCTGCCCGACTGAGGGCAAGTGGGTTAGGCAGTGTTAAGGCCAATGAGAGGCCTGGAGAAGTGATGGATGTAATTCTGTGCTGGCTCGTTGCCAGCTCATTGCACAGGATGCACCCATCCCACCCTCTGCTACTGCCACCACTTACAATCCAGGCCTGGCGGACATGAGAAGGAACCCTTCCCACCGTGACTGTGGTCCTATCGTTAGACAAGAGACAAA